CTGCTTCCATCATTTGACCTTTGTGGTGGAAAAATTATTTCACGTGGTAGCACAATGCGAATGTGATGACTTTCTATTGCAGTATTTTTTGCTTCCGCAAAGCCAAGAAAAGGAGCTCAAGCCATATATGATTTATGACTGGAACATGCTTATTCCGAATAAAAGGAACATCTGCATGTTAACTTGTACGTGAATGTTGATTTTGTTTCAGCGAATGTTGCCCTCCAAGGGAGTGAGAACGAATTTGAAATTACCCAGCCGGACAACTACCGTACTGATCTCTGGCGTTGGCTTAGGAATTGTTGTATTTGGCATACTTCTTCGTAGGTATCTCAACCGTTTTTTCTTTAACGAAATTTTTGGGAAGACTGTGAATGTGTGATGTGAAAAGTATGAGAACTGAGCGTTTTCACTAGTCGTATTGATCACTTATATTAATCACAATGTCAGATGGTTTCGACGAGGATGTCGCGCTGGTTTCAAGTCTTCGACGCGATTGAATGATGGCACCATTCAAGATGGGCCGTACGATGCAGTTCAGCGTGTGGATAGGCCAGAAAGTGGTTAGTGAGACATCTGGTGAATCTACACAATGGTTGGTTCTGTGACGGTCCATGTTACTTTAGTACGGGCTTCATCGCGGTTACGTTGTACTCCATCGTTCAGCGATCGTGGCAGTGGGCGTCAAGGGAACTCGCGACAGCGGAATCACTTTAGCAATAGCATTGATGCATTTCCCCCCGTTTGCTGTACGTATTCTGTGGCACTTTCATTTCGCAGAGAAGGTGAGATGCTTGGCTTTAGCAGACTCCAGTCATGAATTGTTGCGAGCACTTGAACGGGCAATCAGTGTCGTTGAATTTTACCGCGGCAAAGATGGAAGTAAATCCGAAGAGCTTGCATCTATTGCTGACCGTCTCCGCATACTAGAGACTGATATCTCCCGTTTGGTGGCTGATGGCGCCTTGGATGAATATAGGGATGACTGTGAGCTATATTACTAAATATTCCTAATTTTCTATCGTGTTCCTTCTTTATATTCAGTCGGTAGTGCCGTACCTCAATCTTCTGGTTGGCAAGGTTATGCTGCTCCACGTGCGGGAACCCTTTCTGTGCTTTCGGATGACTCCTTTATGTCTGCTTATGAGGAATTTGTAAGCAGTTCTAATATTCTGTTTTATTATGCTGTATTAAGTTTTCTTAGGCTGTAACTCTTGACGAGGATGTTTTACGTGACGTTTCTCTTCCCGAAGATCAGCTGCTGTTTTACAAGGAAGGTTTAAAAGCAGCAAACAACGGAGAGGTTCATTCTGATCCTACAGTGCATTACGCATTTTATTTTACGTCGTTGCTTTCAGGTGGACTACAGGAAAATGCGTGGTGATATATGTCAGTGTGAAAGTGAGCTGGATTTCGCCGCCAAACTTTGGTGCTTGCGGCAGGCTTTTGCGGTTTGTACTTTGTTCAAAAGGTTGCTACGATTTTAACCAAATGCAGTGATTTTGCCAGTGTTGCATTTTGAGCCCATTTATTTTATCAGTCTACCATTCGCCCATTTCCTGCTGATTCCATGTCTAAAAATCTAGGTATGCCTTAATGACGACCATCGCCAAGTGTGGTTGGCGAAAGCGGGTCGTACACTTTTGGGCGACAT